TTATATAGAGTAAATGTCATTCCCGGGATCTGCAGTCCGTCTCTGTTTCTGACGTCTTTTACTTTTGCGAACAAAATGTGGTTGGAGTAACGTAGCTGGCGAAGACGAACAGCAGTCCATCTGTGATGAGTTTCGGCTTAGAACAATTACCTCATTTGAGTGCCATGCTTACGAAATTCAGAAGAATGTACTTTGCTTATACTACAACAGTTATAAATCCAGGCTGATTGGAAATATTGTCATTAACGGGATATTTCAATAACTGTTTGTGTATGTGTTTAACTAAATATGAAGTGTTTGAACATGTTAATACTTCATTTACAACATCAGTGTTGAATCAGTTTGACGATACTTACCAAAAGGAACAGGTTCTTCGTCTGCTGTATCTGCTTTCAAAATGGTACAGCGGATGAGTTAACCATCAACATCACTGTCATTTTCCGAGAGCCCCTGGGGCAAATTTTGTCGCCCTCTGTATTACGTAGATATGTAGGCGTCACTTTCTTCCATTATAGTCATACTATACAATGAGGAAAAATTGCATGAACCAGCTTCAGGGTCAGCAAACAAAGCCAACCATAAAAGTGATAATCTTGAAGATAGATGTTTATGGTGTATAGATGTTTTCTTGGCTGATCTTGGGAATGAAACAATTCTAGGAAGGTGGGGGCAGAGATGGGAAAGTGAAAGCTGGAAGTTTGTGAAAGGAAAGGAAGGTGTGTTTTGCAATTTTGTTTAAAAAAAATATCGTCAGGAATCTATGGGAAAACTTATAGATCCAGCTTCGTGGTATTAAAGATATATTAAAGATTAAAGATATTGTATTATAGCAAAACAGAATTTCATTGTACATGTACAATGAAAATAAAGCTATTCTATTCTATTCTGTTCTATTCTAGAATATTAATTATTTCAGTTTTAGTTTTTTGGTCAGATTTTCACAGTGAAAGAAAGCACTACCATAACATGTCAATAAGTAATGATCACACCTAAATAAATATTCAAGTTACCGGAAATTGCATTTTGCAGTTATATTGAGTGATATTAAGTCTAGTTCATTGAAAAAGCATTTGAATTATTCTCTTCGGCATTTAAAAATTCCAGTACAGTGCCCTGAATCTGCATATATTCATTTCACATTGGTCTGTCCATTTTGCTGTGCTTTCCATGGAAGCATCCAAAGGCAGTAATGTAGTAGCTTAGACGATGTGGGGTTCTTGGGTCTAGCGATGCAAGTGCTTCACTTAACTGAGGAGCTGCGCAGGAAATTTGCATGAATGGCGCAGGAATTGGAGATGTGACCTTTGGAGGGGAAAACGGGCATCGGGATCCATGATCAAGGCGAGGTTTCGGAGGGGCAAGATTCAGCCGGTTGGCTGGTTTTTGTTCCTGGCATGTGCTGCCTTAATTAGCACAAAGCGGCGGTCCTTAGAGGAAGGGCACCAGTGCAAAGAGGCACGGTTTGGGCAAAGAGGCACGGCTCAGCATGTTTCTGAGACACTGACTCCCTCAAGGTCTGCTGGCCTTTTTCATGATTATATCCTGTGAAAATAAATTAAAATACACATATTAAGCCAAGAAATTCTTAATTGATTCTTAGTTGGCTGGTAAACAGTATAACAACAACAACGACATCAGTAATAACAACAACAGCAACTTTAATGGAAGGAGAAATGTGGTACAGAAATGATTCTGTTTGCATTACAGACTTGATGCGACTCAGCGACCCATAAAGTCAGTTTTAACCTAAAGACAGGGTCTTCGTGTCTCTGGCTCATACGAGACAGACACCCTGAGTTTTGTCAATCACATCATGTGGAAATGACAACATGACGTGGAAATCTGGTCATACTAGCCAAACTCGCTTCCGTGTGTCCAAAAGAGTAGAAGCGGGGCTCTTTGACTTATATACACAAGTAGTTTATTTCTGGATTAGCCGCCATGCCTGCAGGGTGTAGAATAACCGGCCCTGATTACAGTATACACCTCTTAGCACATCTTACACCATTTCTGTTTATTTCATTTAGGTTTTACGTGAACATACTTCAATGAAAAAAAATTATGTTTTGTTATGAAAAAATTGATGGTACTGACACTGGATAACAGTTATGGAAAATGAATGAATGTGAAAATTGATTGTTGATACACATCGCATCCAGGTTGGTCCCCTGCCTAATGCCTAATGCCTAATGCCCTGTGCTTCCTGGGGTATGGGGCAGACTCTGCGCTCATCATGACGCAGTGCTGGTTAGGAGGTTATGGAAGACAGGTGCCTATTGCGGTTTTATACGTCATAGGCAGGGTCAAATTTTTTTTGTTTCTAGGTCTCCAATGAAAGAGTCTCTTCAGCCCCCCCCCAAAGAAAATAAACAGTGACTGTTTATGGCCAACAGAGGGCCCCTAAAGACTGGGCCCCTAAACACTGGGGACCTCATGCAAATCACCTGATGACGACAGCAATGTACCTTCTCATTCCTTGCCTGGTGTAAGAAATGTTGGAGGGCATGTGGATGTATACGGCGGGGGAACCAAGGATGTCAGAATAATTAAAATGATTCCTTTCTTGTGTGTTTTCGTAGAGGACATTTCCGTGTCATATTGATGCTGCAGCACTCTGGAGTGCGGAGCACGTAACAGGAGGGGTGAGAATCTCCACTCCCGCTGCGCGCTGCACTCCGGGGGTCATTATTCGTGTGTTGGGGTGCTGTAAATCAGCTGTCTCCTGAAAGGTAGCTGGAAAGCTGCAGGGGGCGTCGCTGATAAATCCCAGGGGGAGATCTCCGCCTGGCGTGGCTCCCCACGAAGGCCGAGACCGGGAAGGCGGCGGGGCTGAGGGGATCTGAGGCGGGGTGATGGAAGATGAGGAGCTTTGGTTTGGTTTCTTGTCGGGATGAAGGCCTTCTTGGGCTCTGCGTCCTTTCCTCAGCATTTTTGCAAGTAAATGCATTTTGTCTGTCAGCGTGGCAATGTGTGTTAAGCTCAGGAGTGGGAGTCCTAGGCTGATGTTGGAATGGACATTCAGACGGTTCCCAGTTTATGGGGTAGGATAGCCATTGCATTAATCTGCCCCTAGTATAGCCCCATAGGCCCCCCCCCCCCACTCTCACAAGGAGAGCCTAGCAAATAGGTTCAGGGGTTACAGTCGAAAGTGCGGGCAGGGACGTAGCCATAAATTCTGGGTCTGCTGATAAGATGTCATGTTGGGCCCCCCAGCCAAGTAGTAACATTATGGGGCGAACCCCCCCCCCCCAAAATAAAAAAAAAACATTTTGATTGCTCCCAACCAGACACGTAGACAGATAGTAAAATTATGAGTTTGAGTTCTCGTCAAAAATGTCAGACTCCCCCAAAATTCATTTCTGGCTACCGGCCTGGGCCCCCCCTTTTTACATATTTTTCCGTATTGAAAGGCCTGTGTAAGCTGCTGCATTTGCCAGGGTGTCCATGCCCCCGCTGTGCCCCCGCTGTGCCCCCACTGTGCCCCTGAAGGCAGGTCACCATCGGCCGCACAAAGTCCTGCCTTTCTGTGTGCAGGATGAGCCGGAGGTTCAGGCCAAGTGGCCGTGTGCTGTGATGGAAACACTGAGCATGATCACAGCAGAAGCAGGGATTGCGGAGGCTGCAGTGAGCTGTGCGGGGATTTGTGCTGACTTCCATGGGGGAAGGGCCTGCGTCGGTCGGTGTTCCGGCTGCAGGCCTTACGTGGCCCCGGAAATGGCCGGGGGGCGGACAGCATGTATTAACCTACAACACATAACACCAATTCTAATCTGACCCACACCAGCTATGACTCACACTGTTTCCAGTTTGCCGTCATTTCTGCTTCTGTCTCCAGACTGTACATTCCTGGATTTTTCTCACTCTGTTTAAAATTTTTATTTCATTATTTATCAGGTGGCTTGCAGATGCCTGAATGCGAGGAAATGTAACATCGCTTGCAATTTAACATTCCGGACATTACGGCTGTAGTTCAAGTGAAAAAACATTACATTAAATTGGAAGTGACAGTAGTAACCGTTATTTTAGATACAAGAGGGACTTTATTTTACCAGGGATTATAAGTGACTATATTCTGAACCCAGGCCTAACTGTGTACCTGTGAGATTCATCCCTGCTTAACCTGCCGCACAGACAGTCGATAGTGAGTGCCGACTCTGCCAGTGAAGCCTATTTAACAAACAGCCGTTCATTTAAAAGTCGCGCGTGCAAGAGGTCAGCTTTCAGGGAAAGGGGAATTGGCATTCTGCGAAAAGCTGGTAATCGAATTGAGTCTAAGGTTCTCTACTCTGCATCAGCACAGCTTCGATTATGATAATCCAGAGTCTGCTTATTATGATTATATTAGTCTTTTGATTAGATTCTCTGTCTTTGTACCTTGCGGGCCTGTGGCGTTCAAGAGCAGGAGCCAACATCACCCTGGTTAACGGAAAACTACTAAATTTGCTAACATTTCTTTTGATTAATGATTTGCAACTGGACATTGGATATGTTTGAGGTACAGCACACCCCGCTTTCCTGGTAACTATTGCAACCCAAAATGTCCCTTTTTCTTCAGGCAAAAAAACCAGCCCACACTGTAAACAAACCATTAAACCATCAAACCATTAAACGCCTACACAGGTGTTCACTTAGGGCCTCCTGAACTCATGTAGATGTTCAGTCTGAGCCTCCACAGCTTAGTTAACCAATACCAATCCTTTTTTCATTCATTAGACAGCATTGGCATACGTTTCTTTCTTAATGAATTAAGTAATGCTAATGTTTTTGAATCTCTGTTGCTGTAAATATTTTGCCTCATCTTTAAAATTGTTCTGCCTCTGTTAGCACCTTTTTAAGGCCGTCCGTCACAAGCATGTACGCTGTCACTGTGTACGTTCTTCATGCTGCGCCATAGTGGAACACCAGTCTTTCCCCCGGTGTGACGTGATTGGCCGGCCGCGCTGCTCGGAACACTCCTGCACTATAAAAGCACACACAGGGGCAAGGACTCCACAGACACACCAATCCAGTCACTGCTCGTCAGCAAGACACCCGGCGCCTGGCTCCTGCTCCCCGCCTTTGCTACCCGAACTTCCTGCATAATGTGTAAAGGGCTCTCCGCTCTGCCAGCAACATGCTTGAAAAGGTACTGAGTTTTTGCTGATCTACATCAACCAAATCAGAGTGTTGCTGTGACTGAATATCTGTTTTTAAAATATGTGTTACTGTACTGGGTAATGCATATTATTGCTAATGGTTTGATGAATATCGTCCTAACAATGTTCCTAACAAAGTGTTAAATTTATTATTAATATGAATTATTCAATATTAATCTGTATATAACTACAATAATTATAGTGTATAATAACATATTGTAATTGTTGTATATTGTATAATAATTATATATGTAAAAAATTATATATGACTGGCAAATACCTTTTACAACAGAATTATATGTGTACATTTGTGGCGTGGCTGTTTCTATGAAAAATATAACATATTTTGTAAATACTTTAGGTTTACAATTTAGTAATATGATTTCTTTTGAAAAATATATTTATACCAATTAATTGGAAAAAGTACATACATTATAATGTAAAATAAAGTTTTGCTTTATGTTTGGAGATAAAAAATTAGAGGTAGCATTTACTGTTAATTAATCTGGATTTGCTGTATGGAGCTGCTCACTTCCTGCGCCGTCCCTTTTAGCGCGAAGGACATGAAGCACCGCATCGGCTTCCTGCTTCATAAAGCCGACCTTCACTCTGACCAGGGAGCAGGCAACAGTAAAGAGAGAGATTCAGCTCCAAAGAGGTAGGATGGTAAAAATCATTATGGATGATCATAATGGAAATATAGATACATCCATTTGACATCCTTTTATAGTGGTCAATGGCTGAAGGGCTACAAAAGCTACTTCAGTTTGGACAGCAGCTGATTACCATTTGACTCAGTTTTCCTGTGGGCAGTTTTTAGCCATAGATAATTTTGTCGTTTTATAGATATGACCAGGAGGATAATAAAACAAAGGCACCCAAGGTTTGTCTTTGAGTGTGGACATCTACATATCTATATATCTATATATGACTTAATGAGTGGCCCTCTGCATTTTACAGAAAGAAATCAGATAGAAATAACTCCTGTTGTATAAGTCAGGGTGTAATATGTTTGGAATCTCCAAGGAAAGTGTCAGGTGCTGTTCTGTCACAGGCCACAAACTGCACAGGGGAAATCCCAGTCACCTATGGTTAAGTTATTCCATGTGCTTTTGTTTGGGAGAATGAGGGAGAAAAGTATATATTAAAGACAAATTTATAGGCAATTATTTATCACTTGTAACCTGTACATCAAAAGATTATTATTAATAGTCCATTTCCTTTTGATGGCTTTTATATTTTTGTGTTTTATTAATTTGTTTTGGAGTACAAGGCCTCAGTGAGATAGTATATATTGAAGACAAGTTAATTTTCAATTTCGATTCAATTTTATTTGTATAGCACATTTTCACAACATTGAATTGTCTCAATTTACAATAAATAATAATTTGAATAAAATTGTTTTTTTTTCTAATGGTAATAGTGTTCCGGCTGAAGTTGGAAAATGGAAGGAGTCGCTGACCAACTTGGTGAATGACAGCGGTAAGATTAGCAATAAGAAAAACAGCTCGACAGGTGTAACAATAAAGCTAGAAGTAACCATACAGTATGTAACAGTTCTTAGAAAATAGCTCACTAATTAAAATTCTAAGTATGCCCATAGAGATTAAGCATGAATTTTTTTTTTCTAAATTCTGACCACATGCAACAAATAGATTGTTCAAGAGTTGCTCATGGTCACATTATTCTCATGATGTACATGCAAGGTGTTTTTCTCCAAGCATCCCTGGGTCTTGCCTACAGGGAGCTACTCAGCTGCCATCTGACACAGCCCCCTACTGGCCCCATCTCGCAATGACAGCCCCCTACTGGCCCCATCTCGCAATGACAGCCCCCTACTGGCCCCATCTCGCAATGACAGCCCCCTACTGGCCCCATATTGCAATGACAGCCCCCTACTGGCCCCATGTTGCAATGACAGGCCCATACTGGCCCCATATTACAAAGTCACCCTCAAACACTTCATATACTGACCTTCCTTCAACAGCACTCAAATTTCTAGAAATTTCTAAAACTTCATTACATTATTTTTTTTCTACTGGGAAGCATACTTCCAAAAGATGTTATAATATCCGGTAATGTTCTTTTTCACTAATTTTTTCCTGCAGGTTTCCTGTGAAATTTGTTTTGTTGGGATGTTTTTTTATACACAATATTGATTTTATGTTTCAGTTGGGCTCCCAGCTTTTGCCACTTTCCTGAAGTCTGAGTTCAGTGAGGAGAATATCGAGTTCTGGATGGTGTGTGAGGACTACAAAAAAATGGCACCCCACGAAAGTCTTGCGGCCAAGGCCAATGACATTTATGACAAATATGTTGCTGTTAATTCTCCACGTGAGGTATGTATAACAAAAATCTAATACTCAAAGAAAGTCGCATGAAAAGTCAATAGACGTAATGGATTAATTGCAGAATACATCTGTACATATACAGTATTTGTACACTGTAGCGTTTTGCTACAATTTTGGAGGGCAAACTTAACTAGGTTGTCTATGGATGACATCCGTAGGTCAACCTGGATTCTGCAACCAGAGAGGAGACCAGGAAAAACTTGCAGATTGCTGGTCCCTCCTGCTTTGAGGAAGCCCAGAAGAAGATCTTCCTCCTCATGGAGAAGGATTCCTACAGAAGGTTCCTGAATTCAAAGCTCTTCCTGGATATGACACAGTCAGCCAGGAACGGCTTCCCCTGTGGAGTTGAGAAGAGGCGGAGAGGGACAGCCTGTAACCTCGGCCAGATCTTGCCTCAGTTTGTCTAGAGCAGTGGTTCCCACTCTGGTCCTCAGGGGCCCACATCTGATCCATGTTTTTGCTCCCTCCAAGCTCCCTGTCAGTCAGTCCGTGTTTCCGCTCCCTACCGGGAGCTGGGAGGGAGCGAAAACATGAGCTGTCTGTGGGCCCCCAAGGACTGGACTGGGAAACACTGACCTAGTGTATTTACATGCCTGTTAGAAGCAGTTTCAGATCTGTCTGATGTAGCAGAAGGCCTGAAAAACAGTAGAGATGTGAAGAGTAGAAATATAAAGATTTGTTTTTATCACTGTGTGGCTATATGAGAAAATAAATACCGAAAAATTTGCTATCTAAAAATGCCTAACATTATTTGTCTTAGAGTATTATAACTGTGTTATACAAGTGAGGTTAGGACAAGACAGGAGTAGCACAATTCTAAATGTAAGTTCTAATCTGTTTATGTTTCTAACCATTCTTGTTTGTTCTTGTTTATCATTCTAGTACTAATATGGCGCTAATTTATGTTTAAACACTTTTTCATTATTTTTAATAATGAAACCTAATACATTTTACATTCTGGATCACTTTAGCAATACCTTCAAAGAATCTATGTGTGAGAACTGACCTCAGTTACCATACACACTAAGCTGCAACTGTTAAAATTCAACAAACAATTATTGGATAAAAATATTATCATTTTATTTTCTTGTGTCATGCTCTGCATCCTCTGTTTTGCAAGCTCAAACATGCCTTTGTTGGTAATTAAATTTACACGCTAGACATTGAGTTGGTGCCACATTCTGCAGAACTACCTCTTATTACGTTTTTTTTTTGTTGATACTTGTCTCTGTTTACAGTTAATATTTCAGTTACACTGTATTGGAATAAAAAGATGGACGACAATGTGAGGTTGTGAGACGGAGCAGCCGTGTATTGGAGTGTCTTCTGTGCATCTGTGCTGCTGTGTGCCTCAGAGAGTGACACATTTCCCCCTTTGAGTATTACCAAGCTTCTGTTTGTGGTCAGAACATCACATGGGAAATCTTGCCTGTTCTCTCTCATATTTGACAGGTTTTCATTCCTATTATGAATCATCCCCTCTATACATTCTCTCTTTGAACAGTCTCACCATCCAATCTGTCTTTTGGACCCTTTGTTGATATACCTATCAGACTGTCCGCACGATGTATTGTGTGTCTGTGCTTATTGCGAGATGTATTATTCAAATTGTTTTCAAATATTGCAGTAACTGTGAAGCGGGAACCAACCTCCTTTGTGTTAAGGTCACACACTTTTGGGTCACACACAATATCCCTAATCTGTGTATTTACCTTATATGCTACATTTATAGCTTATGAATATCTCAGGCAAATACATTCACTGTATTCACTTTGTCATCAATGAACACTGAACATCTGATTGTATTATTTATAGACATTTATTTCTTGTAAACTGTACATCACAACAGTTATTATTTATTGCATCATTTTTAGTACATTTTCTTTTGATGGCTTCTATATTTTTGTGTTTTTATTTATTTTACTGTTATTACAGTCTTTTGTTACTATCTGGAATAAAACTGTTAATGAAACAATTGTAATCTGCACATGGTTTATGAACAGCTAGGATTAGTCACCTGTTTGCATATCACAAAGTTTGCACAGTACAATATATTTTAAAATAGCTTAAAAATCTGTTGGGAATTTGATTCTGAGGTTCACAGCATGCAAATACAAAGAGTTATGGTATTAAACCTGGGGTGGGGGATGGAGGATGGAGGACCAGTCTCGGTGTGAGTTTTTCAGAAGACTTCTTAATCAGCCAATAATAAAGCAGTATTTCTCAACTCCAGTCCTGGGGACCCACTGTGATTGGCTGACTGAGAGGCCATCCCAAAAACCTGCACCCACATTGTCCCTCCATGAATCAGGTTCCCCACCCCGGTATAAAAGAGAAGTGCCAAAATATGGCTTATTTTCATAACTTTAATATCAATGCAAGTCAATTACTTGCACATACAGTAATATTTCAAAATACTCTAATCAACTGTGCGACACAATGATCAAATATGTACATAGGAAGAATAGCTATCAAAAACTGGAAAAAAACACTGCAGTTTATATTCTTAATCTTTTATCAAGGTTACTTTGTTCTCAAGTCAGCACAGACACTCTCAGGTTTAAGAATTTCTTTATAAGATGATTAAAGACTTAAAGATAAGGTAAGACTTTAGTTGGGGTTTGCTCCTTAACTATTGATAAACTGTGTTTCACACATCGCTTTACTTCCAAAAATGAAAACCCTTTTGATTTCATAGTGATTTTTGTACTCTTTAATTTATTTTTTATCTTCACAAAATCCTTTCAGTATTACATTTAGATTTCTTTCTGATGCTGGCCCCAGAGGTGCTTTTAGACAACTTAAAGCTAACATAATGTTATGAAAATTATCTTGCCTTTTCGGACAATTCAGCTGTAGAATTTTACAATATCAGAACAATTAAAAGGTTGTTTCTCACAAACTTGATCAGACCTCCAAGTCATCCATCCATCCATCCATCCATCCATCCATCCATCCATCCAGCTAATTCAAGATCGTAAGGTGGGTGGATGCATAAATGGATATCCTACATTCATGTTTAATGTAAACCAAAAATTTGAACTGCGGAAATGTAGAAATTACTCTAAAACATGCCATCTAAGTCAAGGCCTTGTGAAGTCTTATATTCTTTTGGGTCATCAGTAATCCTGATTTGACCTCCCTGTTGTTTCTTGTTCCCCACTGCAACATCTAAATAGCGTTTAAACAGCTGCATTTGAACAGGTGAAAAATGACAGATGGGTGTTCTGTCACACTGGAGTAACAAGTGGCCGTTTGAAAGCTTCCATTGTCCTGAAACCGCACCCTCCTGGCCAGACCCGCATCCATTTGTATTCTGCCAAGGGCTGTACCAGTGTTTTGTTGACAAGTCTGACAGGTGACTGTGACGGGCTTCAGCCGCTGCAGCCACATTGCTGCTGGCTAAGCACACCTGCAGCATTGCGGCTGAAGATAGATAAACAAAGAATATGGCTTTGGAGGGAAATTCATTTTTTTCTGAGCCTTGAAATCTTATGCTTTTTTCTGTACTTTTATTGTAATATATTACATTTGATTTATTAAAATACTGGACTATTTATCTGTAGCTGCTCCTGTTTCTTGGTATGAGGACCTGCAGGAATGTAACTGCACATATCAGTCACTAAAACCACTTACACATGAAATACATTACCTTGCCTTCAAGCTAAGAGTTCTGCTTGCTCCAGTCCTAAATTAATGTAAGAAAATTAGACGTAATCGTTAAGACACGTCCATCCATCTATAGTCACTGATCTAACGTGGGATCACAGTGATCCTGGAGAACATTCTCGGAACAGCATGCAGGGTTAGGGTTAGGATTAGGGTTAGAAAAACACACCCACACTTAGCTTAGTTTAGAAACTCCAATCTGCCAAAACCATGTGTTTTTATGTTGTAGGAGGAAACCCATGCACTCTCATAGGGAACACACTGGCCCCTCATACACAGGAGCTGAACACGCTGGCCCCTCATACACAGGAGCTGAACACGCTGGCCCCTCATACACAGGAGCTAAACACGCTGGCCCCTCATACACAGGAGCTGAACACACTGGCCCCTCATACACAGGAGCTAAATACGCTGGCCCCTCATACACAGGAGCTGAACACGCTGGCCCCTCACACACAGGAGCTGAACACACTGGCCCCTCATACACAGGAGCTGAACACGCTGGCCCCTCACACACAGGAGCTGAACACGCTAGCCCCTCATACACAGGAGCTGAACATGCTGGCCCCTCACGCACAGGAGCTGAACACGCTGGCCCCTCACACACAGGAGCTGAACACGCTGGCCCCTCATACACAGGAGCTGAGCACATTGGCTCCTCACATACAGGAGCTGAACATGCTGGGCCCCAATACTCAGGAGCTGAACATGCTGGCTCCTCACACACAGGAGCTGAACACGCTGGCCCCTCATACACAGGAGCTGAGCACATTGGCCCCCCACATATAGTAGCTGAACACGCCGACCCCCATACACAGGAGCTGAACACGCTGGCCCCCAACACTCAGGAGCTGAACACGCTGGCCCCCCACACACAGGAACTGAACAAGCTGCCCCCCACAAACAGAAGCTGAATATGCTGACCCCCACACACAGGAACTGAACACACTGGCCCCCCACACACAGAATCTGAACGTGCTGATCCCTTGCACAGGGTGGGGTGCAGTGATGAATGTGTGTGCTCACACTGGGACAGTGTTGCCTTTGCAGTGTGTCAAGGTCCACCTGCCTCTCGTCTCCCCTTCCATCAGCCTTGAGATTTCCATTCTCTATTTGTTTCTCCAGCTCACGGAAACACACCCTGATCTCATGAGAGAAACAGGGGCAGAGCTGGACGGATGAGAGTTACTGTGGGGAATGACGTGGCGGCCACTTATCAGGGTCTATTACAGGTGTTTGAACAGAGAGACAGAGGTGGACTCCACAGGAGAGCTGATAAGAGTGTTTATTGACGGATAATATAAATCCCTTTCATATATATTTATGAGAGCTTTATTGGGTAATATATTTAGTCATGATATTTCAGGGAATGTACTATCGTATACGAACATTCATGTTTGAGGAAATGAATGAAGGAACCTATCGCTGACTATAAGTCAAAGGAATGTGCAGGAGGAAGGAGGAAACTGTTTTCAAGCACAGATCTGAAATATTAACTCTTTCTTTATCCTCAGTTTAATGACTTGAAGAATTAATAATTTTTTATGTATGTCATTTATAGCGAAGCAAAAATAGGAAAACCAGGTGCAATACTAATAACAGCAATTATAAAATATATATAATTTTTTATTTTATTTGTTTAAAGATATTAAAGGTCCATTATATCATTTATTAATACATAATATGAATATAAAGTTACATTACGTTCAAAAAACCTCATGACCTGTTTACTTAAATCCCCAAGGTAGCATCAACACAAGAACATCTGAAACTGCAACACGACATCCTGCTTTTAAAAAAGCTTCCTGCAAACCTCGTACTGCCTCTAAACAAACATGTTTGCCTCCATCCTGGGGATTACATCTAAGCATTTTTAACTCCAAATTTTGCAGGCTGTTGACCATTTACTGTTGTTTAGCTTAACAAGTGATTTTACAAGACATTCCTCAAACAAATACACTCCACAAGATGACATAATGGTAATTTAGTGTTCTCCTTCATTCAGAACATGACGTACTTGGATAGATTTCAGAATGATGATCTTGGTTTTTAAATATAAACGAAATAGAAATAGATGCAGTAATCTAAACGATATGCATACTCAAACTGATAAACAGGTTTATTAACGGTTTATTGAATCCGCATTTGGTCTTATATGCCTAAATGTTGCATCAGAGCTCCATGTTGCTTAAAAGCTGAAGAGGAAATGAAAGTAAACTGAATAATAGAGCAGACAGTTAATAGCATTTTATTTAAATAGACATGTTCACCACTAAATATTACTGCCCCTGATGAGTAGCATGAAATGATACATATTTTTCTATAGAAATAGTATTATTCAGTTGTAACAGATTTGCTTGACAAGAATCCAGCTGCTGTCAATAGCTTAACAGCCACGGGAACAAGCAGCTACTTAATTAATTCCAGGTACTGCTCGGACCTGAGGAACCGTGCGAAGGAGTCCTTCTCCATCAGAGCGTGGATGCGTTTCTGGGCCAGATCGAAAGTACCTGCGGAGAGGTTCACCAAGTTCCTCAGGGTGATGTCCTTGGTCACATGGTCGATGTTCACCTGTTAGCAGTCAGTAGGCTTTGATTAATCAAAATTGAACTGGATTGAGAATTTGTCAACTCTACATTGTATTTAACTGCAAGTAATGAACTCCAGGATCTTTTACTGTCCTTTTACTATAGTGTGATATTCCTGGATGGGAAACAAAGTTTCCAATAGCTTTTGTGCCAAACATGAGCTACCCACAATGGAAATTAGGCTCTTTTCATGCATTTTAAGGAAAAAAACTACACAGAGCTGTGATCTGAGCACATAATAATGGGCACTTAATGAGAAACACACTGATTTATGCTGTTGGGCAAATAATTTAGCACACGGCATGTACTGGGCAAGTGAAATGCAAAAGAATGGAGAAAGTCAGAGCGGTTAAAATTAACTGGATTCTAGCGGACCTCTCTTGGGCCTTCAGACTGAATGAAGTCCTCATAGATCTTCTTAGCTTTGATGGCCATCTTCATGGGGGATTTAGTCTTCTTGAAGTCCTCACATGCCACCCAAAACTCGACATTCTCCTCGCTGAACTCAGACTTCAGGAAGCTCTTAAACATGGCCAGGCCATCTGTGGAAAAGGAACACATGGAAAATGCCCAATTTAAGCCTAAAACCACATCCACGTGTGGGAGAAGGAGTAAGTGTTTTGTTTTAAAGCCACCAACACAGGAGGATTTGCACCTGAAAAAGGTGCTTATGCTCAGACACTCATACTGTATCAACATTATTAACATTAAAAACCACTAAATTGACTGTGAAGGTAGCTTACAATAATTCATAAAACCATACTTAGTATTACAGCATATAGTATATGACTGAACATTATGAGGTAGCTAAAAATTAATGACTATATGAACGACTTGCAATTAATAACACAGAAGATGAGCTGAAATATTATCCGAGTGACAATAATACCAGGGTAGGAGATTACCTGGTGCAGCCAAAATGATAATGTTTTCCAAAAATGGAGCGCATACATTTTCTGTTATCTTTTAATGCTATGCTTCTGGTTTTCATTAAGGTGTGATTATCACGCGCACATGAACATTGTGATAAAATTAGGTTGGGGAAACATTGCGTTCTTTCCTTCAAACTGAAGGAAAAAGTCAGCATCCGGCCTCCTTTACGGCGACACTTCAGTTTTTAGCGCGAAGCCTTATTTTCCTGCCTGTTTACTGCTATAAATACTGTTAAATGTTAATAATAGCTCATTTGTGCTTAAATGGAACTAGATGGATGGATGATTAACGGTGAACAATAAAGTGCAATAATCACAATAAAAATTTTCTGACGTGAAATTGCAAATGAGAAATAATTAAGATAAGTCATAACGCTATATTGGAATTTAATTAAAC